AGATTAATTAGAAAGGCAAATTTGCTCTAAAAGGTGTAATTAATTCCAAAGCCAAGTAGAAGAGAGTTATGGATTATCTGCTTTGCTACTGCCTTCAAGTAGTGTGGATAATCAAGGGCTGATGAGAAGAGAACAGAATCATTTCAGTGTCAATGCTGTGTAGACCACACTCCATACGGTTCCTTCCGTAAGTGGTCTCATGGCTGAGACAAAAGATTTAGAGGGAGCTCGTGCCTGCGCCACTGAAGTCAGGAGGAAACATCCAATCAGACATCCTGCCCTGGCTCTTCTAGCTCCTAAATCATTCCCGAATCCTGTATCTTCCTCTCCAGTCCTCCCTCCCACTGGCCTGGTCCAACTCTGAATCAACTCTTTTCTGGACTGTTGTAACAATTCCCCCAAGTAGCCTCCAGACTCTGCACCACCAGCTCAGCCTCTGCTCAGAACCAAACCTAAAGTGTATCAAATGCATGAACACAGAACCCCCCAGCCAGTGTCAAACAGAAATTTAATCTTGCGGTGTCCCACTTCCAAACTTCCAAATGTGCCCAAAGGTGAAGGGTTAACTCTTCCACATGGCCCACAGGCTCCTTCACAAATTATCCCCACCCTGTCCCCCAGCTCATTTCCCTCGCTTCCCTTCTATCACTATGCTCCTAGAATAGCTCTCCTCAGTCCCCTTGTTATAGGCCAAACTACTGCTCATTCTGGAAGTCTCAGCCTAAATGAATCTTTCAACGCTTAGGGGCTTCAGAATCTGGGCTCTGGTAGCCCTCTGCTAACAGCTTACCTGATTTTCCCATCATTATTTGTTCTCTTTTTCTTAAAGGAGACAATGAGCACCTTAAAAGGAGGACTGTATCTTTGTATTCTCCTCTACCACTCCCTAATTTAGGCCAAGCCTGATGTCTGTCCCATAGGAGATGATCAATAAATATTTGTTGAAAGGGATGGAGTCAGTTAATGACTCCAATGATGACGCCAACTGAATTTGCCCATTTGAAATCCAAACTTCCTCTTTTCCCCCTAGTCAATAGTAAATGCATTTTGAAATATCTGGGAAGATGCCTCAGTTCTCCACTTCCTTTTGCCCGCCTCGCTGAGGCTCAGAGGCAGGTGCCTTCAGGAGGAAAGTCTAGGATAATGGCAAGTGATGCAGACTTCAGCCTGACAGCTGCTGATCTTTGCTTTAGTTGATTTCCCCCTTTGCAAACGGTTATTGGCAATTGAAACTGCAAATCTACTATCTGCTCCCCTATGTAAATTGCATTTACATTTAAATTGTGCATTCTTCCAAAGGATGGGGTTGGTAAATAACAGCAGATTAAACTTGAGAGGAAATTGTGCCCCACGTCAAACCTGAGACCGAAGTGACATCTGGCTTTTACTATTTCCGTTATTTCGGTTTAATAACAGCATGTGGCATTAAGGGAAAAGAAATTGGATCTACATTTTAATGAAAAGAGGAAGCTCTCAGGGTTTAGATACCTTATCATGTTGAATACCTACTCGATTGGCAATTAAAACTTGCTTCCCTCAAGAAATGGAATAAAATATCTTTGCAGCCATGGAGGGAATAATAAATGAAAAACAAGCAAATACCCAGGATTTCACAGATAAAACCGAGGAAAAGGGGTACTGCAAACATCAAAACCAAGTATTTCTGGATCCTGCAGAGTATAGGAATTCTTAAACAGAATAATGCTGAGAACAGAATCATGGATAGGCTAGTGGGCTCTTCAGGAGAATAATTTCAGACAGAATAGTTTGCACATAATAGGAGGCTCAACCCAATCAGATCATCTGATTGGATCCTTTGTCATCCTAGCTTCCTTTAAACCGCAGAGGTCTAAGAAAATATTCTAGAAATGCCTGTTTCATCCTAATAGTCTGTTTAAATGCAAGCAGTTCCACCTGCTGGCTGCTTTTTTGTTGAAAGCAATTCTGGGAAATGTAAACAAAATGCTTATGCATCCTAATAACCCAAGCCTATCATTTATTTGCTTTGATTGAAACAAATGTGTCAATTTTCCAAGTCTTTGTTTGGTGAATCCAATGTTTGGATGTTGGCAAATGTTTGCATTACATGTTTGTTTGGCAACTGATGCTCTATTCAGAAACTCTGGAGCTATAGCCCTCGAAACTACAGCCTGGAATCAGTCAATGAGTCTCCCTGATGATACACACAAAGATGCTTAATCTTTTCCCAGAATCCTGATAATGTTGAAATGGTCAAGTCCCATGGGCAAGTGTAAATGGGATGGGACCTCCTGAGGAAGAAACTAGACGTGGAGACTTTGAGGATATGGCTCACGAATAATTAGAATAATGGGAAACATTTATATAGTGCTTACTAGGTGCCAAGCATTTTATGTGTATTATAAACTCATTGCCACCGAGTAACAATCCTGTAAGGTAGGTACCATTGTCATCCCCATTACAGATGAGCAAAAGGAGACACAGTGAGGTTAGTAACTTACCTTCCCGATGTCACCCAGCTGGGAAGAGAAAGAGCTGCAATTTGACTCCAGGCAGCCTGGCTCACTGTCCCCTTCACCCTTTCAGGTGACTCCCTCCTATCCCTGGCACTTAATTAAGGCAGTGTGTTCTCCCATATTTACATTTCGTCTTGCATAATTGTTTCTAAAGTCTCAGCAGTCTTTTTTTTTTTTTTAAAGATTTTATTTATTTATTTGACAGAGACAGCGAGAGCAGGAACACAAGCAGGGGGAGTGGGAGAGGGAGAAGCAGGCTTCCCACGGAGCAGGGAGCCCGATGTGGGACTCGATCCCAGGACCCTGAGACCATGACCTGAGCCGAAGGCAGATGCTTAACGACTGAGCCACCCAGGCGCCCTCTAAAGTCTCAGCAGTCTTTTTTAAAAAGACTCAAGCTAATAGTCTGAAGAATGTTCTTATTCTTCAATGAGCAATCCCCTGACAAGTTAATACAGCTGTCTTCTCCTTTCTTACTCTGCCTAGAGTCCGTGGCCAAATTACCCATCTACTACCGTGGATCTTTTGAGGATGGCCAAGATGCTTGAGTTTGTTTGATTTTTCCTTTATCTTCCCAGTTTCCTCTTACTGTTTGGTTGGGTAGCAGCACTTTCCCCCCACTTCCTGTGCATAATGATAACTTCTCTGCATCTCTTGACATTTTATCATGGCAGGCTGCCTATAAAGTCAACCAGTGACTCCTTCTGTCTGAACGTAGGTTAAATTAATCATCTGGCTTTCACATCAGTCTGTTGCTATGGGGTTTACTGATGTCACACTGTCATATTGTGATTATCATAATATCTAACAGGCAAAAAGGGACTGGTTGCTACTAGAAACCCTTGGGTGAAACTCCTCCAGCTTTAGTACCCAACCCAACTGCATAGACTTTAAACAACCATGTAAAGGGGTAAGTAGATTAATCATCCAGCTGGATTCCATTTGAATACTTTTCTTCCATATGTGTGTTTCCTCTGGGCGGTTGTCTAGTGTCACTTGAAATTGATGAGGGTTCTTTTGGAGGTTATTTTGGAGAAGGCTGTGAAACAACAGACAGCTGTTCTCAGGAAGAAATGTTGTAGGATGGGCCTAAGCTAGCTTCTAATGGTAATAACAATAAAAATAATCTGAGGTGTATTGTTGGCTTCCTTTCTATATTAGATCGTTTCCTAAGGGCCAAAAATGTTAATTCAGCCTCCCCAACACATAGAAAAGAAGGAAACTTTCATTTACTAAGCCCCTACTCTGTGCCAGAATGTGACTCTGGTCCAAGTGTAGCTTTAAGGAGAACTGTAAAGCAAGGTGTTCTCCAACAACCCTGTTATACATGACAACTCACAGCTTCTTCCAGCTTGTATACAATGTTCTTAATTGGACATTGATTGATCACCAATAAAGGCAAAGTCATTACTTAAAATTGGTCCAGATCCTCTGATGCTGAGTGATCTTCTTGCGGTTGTTTTCACTGCAATATTAAAAAGTCTGGAAATGTAATAGCAGTGAGGTACAATAAATAAACTTCTACATTACAAATCTCTGTTGAAAGGTGTAACAAATGCGTCTTTTTCAGGATTTTGTTAAGTAGGTGGAGGGGTCCTTTTGGGGGGATAAAGAGATCAAGTGCATAAATGTGATTGAACTTGAGACTGGTGTAGGACAGGAAAGCCAATCAAGACTTGTGTAAGCTTATGTAAATCAATTTATGTGCCAGAGAATGAATAGCTGACTTTTTTTTTTCAAATGCCAATTCAGCAATTACAAAGTCTGCTGGCGGTTAATTAAAAACTACCATCTCGTTATGTTCCGAGTTAAATTACAAGTGCGAAAACTACTAGTGTTTGCAATAACTGAACACTCTGGACTCTGTACTCTCATCAAAAGGAGGGCAGGGATAAATAACTTTTATTTAACTCACTAGAAAATCTCTCTCAGCTCTTTCGTATTTAATTAACTTCTTATCTTCTCAGAGCCTGAGTCTTACTCAGAGTTCCTGAGCAGTCATAGAAATATTTGTTCACGTGTTCATTTGGTGCAGAAGACTTTTTCTCACATGAGTTAGGTAGAAAAGTTAGAAATAATTCAACCCCGGAGACATTGGGGAAAGTGACACCCAAACCCAAGAGAGATTTATTGCAGAGAATGCTGATTTGGGGGGTTATTGCCCGTGTACCTTCAAAACAGGAGAGATTGGGTTGTAAGCACTTCTGTGGACTTTCGGGAAAATTTTAGTTCTTATTTGTAAGGCTGCTTTAAAGAATTTAATGTTTTCCGGGCGCCTGGATGGCTCAGTCATTAAGCATCTGCCTTCGGCTCAGGTCATGATCCCAGGGTCCTGGGATCGAGTCCCACATCGGGCTCCCTGCTCGGCGGGAAGCCTGCTTCTCCCTCTCCCACTCCCCCTGCTTGTGTTCCTGCTCTCGCTGTGTCTCTCTCTGTCAAATAAATAAATAAATAAATAAATAAATCTTTAAAAAAAAAAGAATTTAATGTTTTCCTCTTTCATAAATTCCACTGTCTGAAAGAGACCGAACTCCTGTCACACCATGGTGGATGTGAAGTGTCTGAGTGACTATGAATTACAGCATGAACTTAATAAGCTTGGATTTTCACCTGGACCAATACTACGTACGTATGAGGCAAATATTAGAGACTTGTTGTTTATTACTTATAAACTACCTCCCAAGATTTAAAATTATTTACAGTGGAAGGAACATATGCAATAAAAAACATTAAAATGGAAATAGAAAAAATTTCTTAAAACACAGAAAACCATAAAAGGGGAAGAAGTGATAAATACACCCAGATGCTACACACAGGTTACTATGTATGATGCCTGAGAGAAAGGATTGTTTTTTTCCAACAAGAAAAACCCATTTATTCTTGGTTGTATCACCCTGTTGGTTTTTATCGTTTCTAGGATGTGCACTATGTTAACTGTTTATGTACTTATTGTTCATATTCCCCATAGATGGGAAGTGCAACTTTGTCAGTCTTACTTTTGGATATATCCAAATGCCTGCCTCCCTGGCTAATCCATGGAGGCCTCAACTTAATTGTTTGTGGAAGGATAGGAGTGCGTTGAGTAGCTGTGGGGTGGGCCCAGTTGTAAAAGGCCATAATTAACCAACAGTGTAAGTTACAAGAATAAGGATCCCGTGGTGAAATACCGTATGTGCAGTGGGATCGCCTACACAAACGGGATAACTTAATCTGTTCTCCACATTCTTCTTCAGCTTCCACCAGAAAAGTGTATGAAAAAAAGTTGGTGCAACTGTTGGTCTCACCTCCCTGTGCATCACCTGTGATGACTGGACCTGAGGAGATGGACGGAGCTCAGGATGATGACGACAGTGAAGGTACCATCAGAGGCTGTGCTGCTAGATGGCAATTGCGTGCTTATTCATACCTTGTCTGGGATGATCTATATAGTTTGAAATGCTATGCAAGGGTGACCTATGAAATGTCCAGATGGCCTGTTTGCACACAGTGCCTGGGCTGCAAGAGGAATCCGTTATTCCATGTCCATGTTCATGCCAGCGACCCCATTGGATGGAAAATGGAGGGGGGCGGATCTGGTCAATTTGCATGTCCTCTTACTAGCCAGAGCCAACTCTGTGTTTGATTTCTAAAACCGCGAGTTCCTGCAGGTAGTTTCCACATCTCCTTTGAGGTCCCAACCTCTGCTTTGCCTCAATCAATAAATGGGACAATTATTTTCTTCAGATTAAATGATTTCGAATCCATTCAGAAAGATGAACCAAATGGTACCTTCCAGAACTCTTATGCCTACTGCCCTCCTGACTTCACGGGAGCTGACCACAGCTGGTCTCTTCTGGGCCCCAGGGTAGGTGCAGAGCTGTGGGGATCCAGGGGCTTCTGTTCCGGTGGCCCCTGCCCCCACGGGCACCATTCTCCTGTAGGAGGTGGGCTTGAAGATTCCTACAATCCATTCCAAGGCTGTTTCATTCAATAAATATTTATTAGGAGTCCTCTGTGAGCCACAGTAAAATAACAGGGACTACCATGCCTTGAAGGCCACCACTGCACTTCTGGCCTTAAGTGCAATATCTCATTTAACCCTCACAAGCTTTTAGCTGAAGTTCTGAGAAGCTGAGTGACCGGCCCAACATCAAATAGCTAGGAAGCACCCCCAGAATGTGCCATGAAGAGCAAGATTCATTGTCTCTGTCACCATTACACGTCTAGCTCCTGGAACAGTACCAGGCACGGAGCAGGAATGCACAATGTGTTTGTTGAAAGAGGGTGACAGAACTGAGATTTGAACCCAGGTCTGGTTCTCATAATTGTGCTCTTTCCGCCACACGCCTTACACTGTTCTCACAATTTCTATTGTGAGGATGAACACATTACCTTTTTGACCATGTTTGACCTACCAAAAAATGGCAATTTCATACAGCTCAAGTGAATAGTTTAACAAGTAAGGTAAGTGCCTGGGGCCTTCTGAAAAATCCCCTGGTGGTGCAGTTCTGAGAGCTTCCCCTAAGTCCCGCGTGGCTGGCCTCATTTGAAAGAGCAGCAGGACTGGGGGATGGACCCACCGGCCCCTGAGCATACCCCAGACCCTTTCTGGTTGGGGGATATGTTCAGAGTCCTGCCCCAGGCCTGGGACTGCGTGTGTTTCCTGCCCTACACAGGAACTGAAGGGATTAGACTAGCCCTCTGATGAAATGAAGGGCCAGGTTGGAAGATTCCAGGGAGGAAGCCTTGTGTCCTTATTGCTCACAGCTGCCCAGGACTGCGGGTCAAAGCAGCACAGCCGAGCTGTGGTGGTCCCAGGCCAAGCTCTCTTGCTTCCCAGCGCGCAGCACTCTGCAGAGGGGCATGTATGCCCAGGCTGCGAGAAAATGGGTCCTTCAGTTTGTAAGTTTTGCCTTTGCCTTACAGACTGTATTCACCTGATGCCAGCCAACTGCAGGCAGTCAGGTCAGAGGTGAAAGCTCTGGGTCAGTCCCTCCCTTGTCATGCAATGCTATGGTGCCGGTGGACAGTGCTTAGGTCAAGTAGGCAATGACTGCTGTCTCCGGGTCAGGTCTGAATCAGATGTTTGAGTCTGCTCATTGGAGGATCCTCAGAGACCCCGTTGCCATCAGAATGAAGGGGTTGCCACGGGACTGATAAGGTCCTGGGGAGATCCAGCCTTGGGCGCTTCACAGAAACACCTCGTAATGGGGTGGGGTCGCGGTGGGGAGCCTGTGACAGGGGCCCAGTTCAGACCTAAGGCGAAGCAGTAGGTTATCCAGACAATGGGTGGGTTTGATTTTTTTTTCTCATTTTCACTCATTGTTTTGGCACCGAGTGGACATAGCTTTAATGGTCGAACCTCTTTTCCAGCTTCCCAAATATTCTGGAGTCGTAGGGCTCCTTTAAAATCCCCTCCAACAGCTCTTCTGAGTGTGTAACAGCCCCTGATTGCTCTGAGTTTATCAAAATGCTTCTCCACCGGCTGAAGCCAAGGGTTGATGAACAGCCACCTTTCCTGCCCCCAGCAGTTTCCCGGATGTTAAAGCCTTTTAGCGCAGGTCTGGCCTTCCCTCCTCTGGGGGCTTCTTCGGACACAGAAGGAGAAAATCCTCCCGCCCGATCCAGACATTCAAGGATGCGTGAGGCTTGCAGCTGGTTCAAAGGGGCACCAACTAGACTGAAACCAGCCGCCCAGAGGAGCGGCCAGCTTGAGCTCAGCAATGTATTTCTCCCGGAGTCAGACAGACATGATGGCCTTCCTGTTAGGAGCCCTCCCCGTGTCCCCCGGGGAAGGCCTCAGCGCTTTGCACAAAGGCCACTGCAGAAATGCCCTTTGCCCTCGGAAGGGCAAAGTGAATTTTATTCCCCTCATGAAATTCTTCTGCCCTACAATTGGTAGAATTCACCCCGATGAGTGGTGTTTATTTCCCTTTCTAGCTCGTATGTTCTCATGGCCTATTTTCCTTTTGTTTTCCATGATCCAGAGCTTAATGCCACTATCATTTTGAAAGGAAATACCATTCTCTCATCAGAAAAAAACAAGGGACCCAAAAAAGTATGTACAATTCTAACGCATGAATACTTTTACCCATAATATATTAAATATAGGAAATAGCACTCCCCCTATGTATTAAGAAAGGGAATAGCAAGTGACTCCATTCTGGTCCAGCGGTAAAACCCTAGTTTACAGCAGCTTGTTGTAATGCAGGTTTCTGTTTTGTGAAACTATTTCCGTGTCTGACGCTTAACCGACTGAGTCACCCAGACGCCCCCATATTATTTTTTATTTTTTATCGGAACAATTGTAATATCCTCCTAACTGACCTCCGCCTCTAACCTTTCGTGATTCCAGTTCAGATGTACAAGCAGAGCTTGAGCCATGACATTCACTTTGCCTGGAAACAAGGCGCAAACTTACCACACACCGCGAAGAGACTCCAGTATCTCCCTCATCACCCTCCAGACTCTTCCCTGGTTTCCCACCTCTCTCACTTCCTTCCCATGTGCCTTTGCCTCAGCCGTTCCTTATGTCTGGCGTTCTTTTCATCCTCCGCACCCCCAATCCCCTGCCCATTTTTCTTCTGGTTCAAATCCTGTGACTGTTTAGGGACCCGACTCCAAAGCCATGCCTGTGCATCGGCTTAAAATTGCCCTCCCTCCCCCGCAGTAGCTGGTACAGGCTCCCACACAGAGTAGGAGCCCAGAGCTCACCTCATCGCATCTGCCAAACTCCTCTAGCGACAAACAGGTTAGTTTGCCAATATGGTCTAGTGTTTATTTATTTATTTTTATTTTTTTAAAAGATTTTATTTATTTATTTGACAGAGACACAGCGAGAGAGGGAACACAAGCGGGGGAGTGGGAGAGGGAGAGGAGAAGCAGGTTCCCGCTGAGCGGAGAGCCCAATGCGGGGCTCAAACCCAGGACCCCGGGATCATGACCTGAGCTGAAGGCAGACACCTAGTCACTGAGCCACCCAGGTGCCCCAGTATGGTCTAGTATTTAAACTCCTCACTGAGTTTCAGCAAGTGAAAAGGAAACCCCAAGTACACATTCCTATAGTTGGTAGTAGCTTTGGCTTCCCGTTTGAACAGAATTCAAATCTGTTGAAGTAATTCTGATAGCTTATCAAACTTTCTAAAAGGATGTTTTAAATCTCCCAAATGGCTCATCAGAGGAATCCTTTCCATTCAAAAAACCTCCTGTGGGCAGAGCACCCCTTTGTCTAGATCCTGCACAGACACGGAGGGGAGAACAAAGCAACCTGAGTATTTGCAATGCATGGGGGCGGGGCCAGCGCCCTTCGGGTCTTTGCTTTCCATAAACCTGAAATAAAACCACATCAATATTTTGAATTGGCAATAGAATTCAACCAAAAGTTTGTGAGGGCCCGAAATGTTTGGATCTGAAGGATTTATATAAGCCGTTCTGATTCTCAGAAGGGCCTCAAGACATCTGTTCAACTTTAAATTCTGAAGTAAATGTAAATAAGCATTTAAATTTCCATGTAAAAGGTGGTAAAAAGTGTGTTTATGGAGTCAATTGTCTAACACCATAGACTTTAATTACTTAAGAGCAGTGGTGTGTACCTAACTGCCCTCAGAGTAGCTGGAGAGGCAGAATTCTCATTTTTTTGAAACATCAACGAATACATATTTCCCTCTCATCCTAGCAGGGTTTCCAGTGGAATACAAACCACTTTGAGATTTTGATCATGTCCATTTCCGGATGCTTTGTAATCCTGCATGTGTGAGTGTTTTATCAGATCGCGAAGGCAGCCCACTGCTTTGGAGATTAAGATCACCCAGAAAGTCAGGCCAATACATATTTTTTAATTGGGGACTTCTTCATCAGATGGACTTGGGGCGCAGCAGGTGCCTCCTGTGATGGAGAAGGCAGGAAAGCCAATGCGTGTAATGCAGGCTCTAAGTCCCTTCTACCAAAGAGGGGGAAATGGGATTTGGGGTGTTCGGGAAGCAGAATGATCTGCAGCGTCAGGCTGCATAAAGTGGCCTCTGAGTAAGGCGACCATGTCATTTACACCCCCGGCAGGATGCTTTTGAGAATGAAAGGGGACACTTCTAGAAGAGAGGCTGGAATAACAGGAATCAGACAGGACTGTCCTGGCAAACCAGGGCATCTGGGCACCCTGGGCTTAAGAGTGGTTCCAGGGGTGGAGATGTTTGCACATGCACTCCCATCTCTGGACGGCTGCTTGTCCAATCCCAGAGGGCTATTGGGCCTGGGAGCTGTGTGCTCTGGAGCGCTCCTGGCCCCTTGGGTGTCTCCTTGTTCCCTTCCAGACACGCATGCTCATTCCTGCCAGAATCCTGGTTCTCTGTTCTCCCAGCCCGGAATACTCTTCTCATCTTGCCACCTATGCGACACATTCCTCTAGGAGCTTCTAAAAATGTGTTCTGTGGGTCTGGGTCTAGCAATCTGCCCTTTCAATCTGCCCCAACTCCCACCCTCTGCCTAAGAGCTTTGGCTTCAGGTTGTAAAACTCTGAGCGTGAAAACCTATGTCTTTGAATCCTCTGCATTGAATCCAGTGCCAGCCGTATGGGGAGAGGGAGGAGGGAGTTACTCAGTCTTTGTTGGCTGAACCCAAGGGAACCTTTGTTATATATTTATGTTGATGCTCTCCCTTTCTCTGACTTCCTATTCTGTACTATCTCTTTTGTCTCTTAGACATACCTTAACGTATTCTCCTGAGGGACAATGCTTAGGGCACAGTGAATTGATGACCACCCAGGGAACGGTTGGAACAGACCTTCCACCCCTGGGTCTCAGCCTGTGAGTTAACAACTATTTATACTGGGCATTGTGCTAGACCTTTTTGAGGAAGAAAATAGATGCTAAAGGAGCCATGGTTCCTGCCCTGGAGAAACTTTAAAATGAGCTTTGGAAACAAAGAATATGTGTATCAAAAATCTGGACTCCAGAGCCAGACTGTCTGGGTTCAAATCCCAGTTCTGAGACTGACTTGGACAAGACACCTGACCTCCCAGTCTTAATTTCCTCATCTGTAAATCAGGACAATAATGGTCTCAACTTCATAGAGCGTTGCGAGGATTAAGTTAACATATGTAAAACAGAGTAGTGATGCTACACCGTAAGAGCCATATAAGTACAATAATAACTACTATTATCATCAGTACTATCATGGAAAAAGCACGATATTTAATTATCTACAAAACAAAGCAAACTGCTTAATGGAAAATAATATGATGGCAACTGAATCTCAGTATTGAACTCCTAAGTGCTGCAGAGAAGGATTTATCAGAGTGCCCACAGGTATATTTATCTATTATATAATTATATAACAGGTATATTTATCTTTTTTTACAAGATTTTATTTATTTATTATTTTATTTATGCACAAGCAGGGGGTGAGGCAGGGAGGGAAGAAGAAGCAGGCAGGCTTCCCGCTGAGCAGGGCGTCCGATGCAGGGCTCCATCCCAGGACCTTGAGATCGTGGTGTCCTGAGCCCAAGGCAGAGGCTTAACCATCTGAGCCACCCAGGCACCCAATATACAGATATAATTATCTGTGATAATAATCCCTGTGAGTGCTGTGTGTTGAATGAGGCAGACCAACCTTAAAAAAAAAAAAGTCCTATGTGCCCTCCTTGTATATAAGGACTCCTTCTTAATTTTATGCTAAATCCTTCCCCTGCCTTTTGAAACATTGAAAAAATAATTTATTTTGAACTAACTTCCAATTTAGGGACAGTGGCAAGATTAGTATAAGGAACTCCTAGGTTGCTTCCACCCAGATCATCCAGGGGTTAGCTTTTACTGCATTTGCTCTGTGTGCATATGCGTGCACGTGCATGTGCGTCTGCACGCACGCGACCTACCATCGTGTCTGAACCGTTTGAGGGCCAGCTGTAGACGGGAAGTCTCTCAGCTCCCCTGCACGTCTTCTGCCTACCACCAAAGGACACTTTCCTCCATAACCACCATGTGACACTCCAAAGAAGGACATTCACATTTATTCAATGCTACCGTCTAGTATTCAGACCCCATACAAGTTTCACCACTTGTCCCCAAAATGTCTTTCTGCATTCTGCTCCACGACCAATCCAGGAATGCACTTTGCCTCTCGGTCTGGAGGAGCGGTACCTCAATCTTTTCCTGTCATTCACGCCCTTGACTATTTTAAAAAGTACAGGTCTTTCATTTCTGTTGGGTGATTTTTTTTCTGTCTGATTTTTCCTTTTGACTATTCATAGAGGCCTTGCATTCTGGGCAGAAATTCCTCAGACGGGGTGCTATGCTCTTCTCAGAGTGTCACAACGGGGAACAATGTCATCCTGTCCACTGCTGGTGATGGTAACCTAAATCACCTGGGAAAGTTGGCATCTGTCAGATTTCTCCATAAAGCCGTCATTTTCCCCTTTGTAACTGAATGGTCTTTTGTGGGGAATTATTCTGAAATGATACCAACATAGTGTTCCTCATCAAACCTCATCCGTTAGCCCCAGCACCCGTGAAGGACTGCCTGATTCCACCTCCATTATGATGATAGCCCATTAAGATTTTTTATTCCTAGGGGCGCCTTGCTGGCTCAGTTGGTGGGGCATGTGACTCTTGATCTCGGGGTTGTGAGTTCAAGCCCCACGGTGGGCAGAGCGATTACTCAAAAAATCAAAAATAAGGATAAAAAGATTTTCTATTTCTATCCTTCCTTCTATATTTATTAGTTGACATTCTACTGTAAGGAAGAGCTCCCCTTGTTCATTAATCCATATATATATTAGCATGGACTTGTTGATTCCTTTTGATTCAGTAGGTTGTATACATTGATATCATTTTAATGCTTAAATTGTTTCAGATTTGGCCAGTGGGAGCCCCTTCAAAACAGATACTGTGTCCTTTTAACATGTCCTCATTATTCCTTGAGGATTTTCTTAATTTCTGGCACAAGATATTTCAGCCCCTTCTTGTGCTTTTCCTGCTCTGGGAGCCTTGGTTCCTTTTATTGCAGGGTGGTATTTGGAAACCCAAATCTAGACCTTTAGGGAGCTCATTGCTACTGGGGAGTCATTGC